CGTCACATGTTTAAGGGGGGGGGGGATGTTGTACCCAACTTTTTGACCGCAATGTAATTTTATAAGCTGTACTTAATGCTTGCTCATTTTATGTAATGTTATTTGTGGAACCGAAGTAATAAAATTCAATCAAGAAGATCATTAACTTAAAACTCTTGTACATTTTTAAAAAATATGAAGTTAATGGCATGAAGTATGTGTTATTAACAAGTTTCTGGTAAATAAATGAGGAATTTGTTGGAGCTTCATTTTAACTATAATGATGATGTGATGATGATGATGCGTTTTACTATATAAGAGTGTCATTTCCGCCCATCTTGAAGTACTATTTCTTTAAATTTTCGCACTGGGGTGTAGACTCACGACTTTCACCTCCCACCTTTCAAAAGAAATCTGCGGCCTTGACGGGTTTTTTTTTTGTGGACTGTGCAAGACATTTCTCTTGCTTTTTCTGTCGTTTTTACACTCCATTTTTATCTTATTGCACCATGCCTATATTCCTAAAGGCGGTTGCAGGTATCCACTAAACAGTTGCAGGTACCACACAATTTCACTCTATGTACATACTGGTATACATTACTGTAAATACGTTTAAACTTGAAACAGTTAATTAGTATTAATTACATTATCACCTCCACCGTTGCGTTACTTCTTTACTTATAGCTTGCCGCTTCTTCAGGCGAGACTTTACGCCCTTTTCTAGGCTGTAGTACGTCATGTATTAAGCCATGTAAGACAAACATACTGCCAATCACGAAAGTGCCAACACCAGCTCCAGTAAAAGCAATCAGCAAAATTATACCTGAAGTCCAATGAATTCCTACAATGCACAATTGATAGTTTATTTGTATTATTTATTATTTTGCTGAAAAACACAAGTTCACGAAAAAAAATTACTACTACTGCTACTGCTGCTGCTACTGCTGCTGCTGCTACTGCTACTGCTGCTGCTACTACTACTAATTTCTTTCCCACGAGGTACCCCGACGGGGAATTCTGTGTTCCCTGGATCCCCACTGGCGCCCTACTGTTTATTAGGCATGCATGATGCTTTGAATGAAACTTACCAGGTTCGAGAATATCATCTGTTTTCCCAACATTCTCTGTTGATCTTACTTCCGTGTTTCTAACATCAGTTAGTCCTAAAATTATTAGTCAAATTTTAAAAACATGTATAGTAGGTTAACGACGTTCATGAATTTCACGATTGATAAAATAGGGGCGAAGTTACTACGTAAAAGGTTTTTCGGTGACAGATAGGCCTATGGATAATATGAAATTCTATAATGATGATCATGGTGATAATGGATGATAACGATAATAACAACAATATAATAGTAATTAATAATAATTATTATATATAAGTAAGTAATAATGGTAATAATAATAATAATAATAGTAATAATAAATTCACTCTTTTTTAGCGCATTCCGCAAAGGAAAGGCTTAGCCTAATATTAAGAGTAACAATATGAAATATGATAATAATAATAATATTGATGATGATGATTTTAATGATAACGATGATGATATTGGTTGTGGAGCTAATGATGCGAATGCTGATGATCATAATAATAATATTAAGATAACAATTTTGTATAATGCTAATGATGATGAACATAATGAGAATGATAGAATAGATTTGGTAAGAAGAGATTGTTACCGGTCACAGTTGTTGTTTTGAGGCCGAAGCTGGAGTTGCAATATTCAGTATACATTGCAGTGATTAGCTGCTGCAAAAGTCTATCAGAGGTGTCGTTGTTTTCAATGACTGTTGTTTCTGTCGTCAAGCTGGGCCCACTGCCCTCCCTTACTTCGACTCCAGTCGTGGTAACGGTTTTGCTTTGATCTGCCGTATTATACTGCCATAGCAAATTTTGCGGCTCAGCTGTTGTTAGAACCACCCGATTCTGATTCTGTACGTTTTTATCCGTGTTCATCAGTAGAGAGGTCCCGGTAGCAGCAGTGGGGTTGTCATTATTCTGGGAGGGAAAACCGATACATTTTCTGATCGTGTGTGTGCAGTTAGCATTACACTCCTTAAATAGGCGTACTTCATTATTGATTTTCCAAATACATTCTGTCAGTGCACACTTTTCCTCCGACGACTGAGCGGCAATGGTCTCATAATACATCGCACTACATTGGTCATCCAAACCTATAACATGAGGGAATTTGTTCAGATTTACATTATATACAAAAAGTAACATCATGGCGATACAGGTCTTCCTCTAATTAAATACCACTTTTGGCTTTGGTCTCTAATTAGAATAATAAAGACAACAGACATTTTTTAATATGGAACAACAGGAATGTGGTCTTTAATTGGAGGTGGTCTTTATTTGTAAGGGTTTCTAATTAGAGGGAGACCTACATTTAAACAAACATTATTTCCTAACTAATGATGATAAGGGTGATGATAACAATAATAACAAGAGCACTCAGTATAGAGAGCATATCTCCGCCCACCGCAAATCCCTTTTATTTCTATAAAATAAATCTTCCAAATAATGTTCATAATTTATTTCAACCACCACCACTACCACCCTACCTCACTTCGCTCCACTCCTCTTCCAAAACACGCAGTAACTCGCTTAAACACTTTTTATTTCAAAGAGGGATTATTTCAACTTTTAGTCTGGGTTTTTGGGGGACTCTCTTTTAGAGTGGGTATTTTCAGATGAAGATTAAAATATTCTCAATCAGTTCTCAAAAACTGAATTTAGTATATACAAAACGCTGTAAACATTTACTGTAATTGCACTAATTTTTTGAATATTCATCACACAGCTATTGTTATCTGCCTACGGTATACAGTAAACCTATTATTGAAATGGTCCTCATATCCACACCCTACTTCGGAGCATGACTAAATTTAAAGACTTCTTCACTAACACATGACAAACTATTCTGGAAAGCGTCATTTTGATCCAATGATCTATTTTAGAAATATTTAGATCTGGAACCTAATGGCCCTCAAATGCACACCCGACCGTCACCAACACTACACAATTTCTTTCTTGTACATTGTTAAACTTTCACGAAAGTTTCATTCAGATATGTTGACACGTTTGTGAAATATTTGGTGTAGAGTGTGTGCTATTAAATCCCTTTAATTGGTCCTACTTTAGACCGTCACAAAAAGTTAATCATTCCTTTATTGGGTCATACCTAACACGCTCTGTAATTTTCATTTATATCTATGCAGCCGTTTTCGGCGCCAGCATGGTGGGGGGGGGGCAGTAGGGGCTTAAGTCCCCCAGATGTGTATAAGAGACAGCCCCCACACACGCCCACACCCAAACGTCTGAAAACATATATCTCTTGGCGGAGATAACAATATAAGATAAACTTTATTGTCAAATATTTCAAATCAAATATTATAATAGGATATGGAACAATTAATAAATACTGAGGTAAAAGATATTTAAACATAAATTATAAAAATGTTACATACATGATACATGTAGACACTAAAATATTACATTGTGTACATCATGAAATACATGATAATATTTAAACATGGTTAATATTATATTACTGTATACAATGGAGTTAATTATCTTTTTGTTATTATTTTATATTGTATGATTTGGTGGAATAAAGAATTGGATTGAAAAAGTATCATGGGCTATACGACTTTAGTTGAAAAAACTATCTACATCACTTGGTCTAACACCGCTTCCGGATATTGTTGTAACATAAAATTAGGTAGATGGACACAATCGTTCATAAGTTTTTCTAGCAGTGACATTGTTCAAGTACAAACTGTTTAGATCACCCAGTTTATTTCCTATAATCTGTAATATAATTATGCATATTTCAAAGCTTATACACACAATGCAAAACCGAGGTTCATTATAAACGTCTGGGATTCGAGACATACCGTTCTGAAAAACTGTAACAACATATTTCAGCTTAATTGAGGGAAAAAATAAAGACCGTCATTTTTCATTGGAATGGTAGCTGTCTCGTGAGGAGCTTTTGCATTTGCCTTTTGAGTTTGATTGACACTCGAGGAAGGTCCATTGGTGGGTAGGAAAATTGAACGAGGAAACACATGTTTAAGGCAGAGACTGCAAATGCTATGACAAAATGCCTATTCCTAAAGCCTGGCACTCACTGTGATGTGATTTAAACTATAGGAACGTGGACTGAGGGGATAAAGGAGACTAACCTGAACATAAGAAACGAACTCTGTAATCAGCGCAGGAATATCCATTCTCAGCCTGCTCACATACAAGACCATTCGACGGGTAGCAAGTAACTGTATCATTTGTTGATGTATATGGTTGTCCGGCTGTAGTCTGGCACTCAATACCTATTGGTTTTGCACACATTGTTGCTGGGTGCTCCTATTTATGTTGATAAACATATGTTGTAAGTATACAGCCCTGAAAATTATGCAGTTATAAAATGTGTGTATTTTTGTTAATAATAATTCTGTGTTCCCAATATTTACGTTTGAAATTTAGTTTAAGTGTAAAGCAGGTTTTTGTATGTATACGTGTTTGACTTGAATAAAACAAATATGTTTTATCAATACACACACTATAGTGTGTGTATATACATAACATACGAAGTACAATAGAAATATCACAGTAATATCTGTCTCTTATACACATCTTGGGTATTTTCAGATGAAGATTAAAATATTCTCAATCAGTTCTCAAATAACATACTAAGTACAATATAAATTTTACAGTAATTAATAACAGAATTTGTAATTTTTCGACTTTTAAAAAAAGGCCCCTGCGTTCTGTTTTTTAAAAGTTCATTTATAATTCGTCATGTCTTGTCATGTTATGGATTTTTATAAAAAATTAAAATAAATAAAATTAATGAAAATGAATGTGGTAGTTTAGTCAAGTAAATTATATGATAAGCGATATGCCTATACATTAACACTCTGATCCAAGAAGAGTGTGACGTACATCAAGCACGAATAACTTACAGATAATAGATTTGATACCGTTTCCCAGTCTCCGGTTCCAGATGGATTATCCCGGTCATACCATGGGGTCCACGTTTCTGAATTAATAAGAATTTAACGATTGACTTGCGAGCCTTTGACTTGATCAGTTTTAAATACGCTCACCTCAGCCAAATAATGTTTGGGCTGAAGCAGGCGTCCCTAAAGGCTTCTATTATAGCTCAGTTAAGAGCTGTCGTTCAAAGATTAGATTTTTTACGTATATTTTACATGTAATGGAAATGAAAATGGACTTGTATGGCGCCTTACACAATTATAAGTCGTCTCAGTGCACTTAAAGAATATGAAAAAGAAAAGACAAAACTAACCCATGAACTATCCTTAAACTTATCAGAAACGAACTAAAAACAAACCAGTAACACTACACCGTTCTCCAGCAATTTGAGACACATGGTCAGTTGGAACATTACTCAAAGGTGCTCTAGTGATAGTGGTAACTAATCTGGCCTATCCTGTAAGAAGAACCAAAAACGTGAAAAAAGAGGGAAGGAATAAATTAGAGAAAAAGATGTGTTTTAAGTTTTGACTTGAAAATGGACAACGACGAAGCTTCACGAATAATTGATGAAGGCAGATTTTGTTCCAAAGTTTAGGGGCAGCGTTTGAGAACGCTCTGCCACCATACGTCTTGAGGAGTGATGGAGGAACATGAACAAAGTGGATGCATTTCTAGTTGATCTGAGGAGGTGCTGGTACAAGTTGACAATCTTAATTTAATCAATTCAGCGATGTTGGATGGTGACACGTTGTTGAGAGCCTTAAATGTAATCAGTAAAAGCTTAAAAACAATACATTGTTTAACGGACAACCAGTGGCGGCGCCAGCATAGGTGGGAGGGGGCAGCAGGGGCTTAAGTCCCCCATGCCACCAGACAGGTCAACCCCATCCCCCATTGGACAGAGCTCGTCGGGCAGTCAGAGTAAAAAAGATATAAAAATAGGCCCATGCCAAGCCAACACATGTCTGTCACAGTCTGAGAGTGTCATTTCTGGCCATCCAGAGATTCCTATTCTTAAAAAATCTCATTTGGGAGGGGGAACCCCCGTCTCAAACCCTTCCCCCCGCTCAGGCCTACAAGCTCAACAGCATATTGCTTGCAAGCCATGCCTGTACGAACACATACTCCAATGGTTGCCTTTGTTTCGTTGTACTGACTAGGATGGAAGAAATAAAATTGGGTATCGTCAGCAACACAATATGGTAATTAAGGCCATATAATGTGAAGATACCACTTAAAGGTGCAATAAAAATCAAAAACAAAATAGGGCCAAGACTAATCCTGGGGGCACACCACAAGTAAGAATACAAGCGTTTTCCGATGAATGATTGAATTTTGTTGAACTGTTCCCTTCGATTACAATGCTGACGATGATGATGACCTTGTTTTAACCGGCGCTATAGAAATTTATAAATCTATCTAATCTATATATTTCCAGTATATCGCACCACCAAGCCCTGTGTCCAGACTATAAATTCGTTAGCAGAAAAAGTCATTGACTTGTTCGGGTTTTTTTTTTTTCTTATTCTATTCCGTTTTCCTATGTTTGTTTTGTACACGGTTTTTTTTTTATCGGAACTGTGGCCACTGTCCGTGCTTGGATCTTCTTCAAACGTTGTCCAAGGAAAGACCATATATAAAAGATGTGCATATTAAAATGTGACGTCATTTTATGCCATTTGAATATTAATAAACGGGTAATTAAACTATTATGTTAACGCAAATTGCGGTTTCTAAGGCAATTCAAACTAACTACAGCTACGGTACGTTCAACAAAGATTTACTGTGAAATGCATGAACAAGTTTCGCCTCCACTTATAATATTATGCAAGGTAAACAATCTAAAAATGCCCTGTATAATACTCTTAAGGATGGCCTGTTTAGCGTAATAATAGTAAGAACTCTCACCCTCGCTATTACCACTGGAGCAAAGATAATAAATAGCAAACGATAGAGCAGTTCGCGATATATAGTAGAACGCCTCATGAAAGCGTCCATGAGAGCAATTTTCATCCATCCGAGTGGCGGCGCTATATCTTTGATTGGCTCTGATTGGTTGGATTGGTAGGATATCTCTCAGTTTTCAGTTTTTATTGGCACACACTTTTACAACAGTGGCACACACTAATCAGTGGTGCGTCCAGACTTACTAATCAAAAAACAATACAGTAAAAGTGCACAAAAGTAAAATTGGAAACGCAAAGGTAAACAGAAAAATCAGGAAATTTAACAAAATACCGGTAGTAAAAGAAAGGACAAACATCCCAGAAATACAAAATTCAATTCAAAGTTAAAACAAACTGCATTTCAATAAAAAGCAAGTAAGAAATAAACAATTAAAAAAATAAAAATCAAGATAAAATAAAATAAGAAAAAAAGTTGTACCTAATACATACACATACATATAAACATGATACACACACATAAATATACACATGCATGCATATACACATACATGTCAAGGGGCTACAACCGATGACATTAAAAAGAAACTTTACAGTGGTGACATATCTTACGATCACATTCTCACTGATTTCCTCCCGCCTCGACGTCAAACTTCTATCTCGCTTAGGAATCACCGCCAATCTGCCTTCTTACCACTTTCTTGTAGAACCAAACGTTTCAAATCTTCGTTTCTCCCATATGCACTTAAGCTTTGCTCGTCTCCAAATCTCGATCCGTCTTCTGCAACCAATGCCTCTATCCGTACTGCTCTGCTTGGAACACATTGATTAGCTGTTTAATTCTTATTTTGAATATTTTTATTGGCTATAGCAAATGTTGATATTCGATTGTGTTATGTTTTTTGTATGGCGGATAATAGCCCATGGATGGCTTTTGTAGCAAATAAATATTGAATGGAATTGAATTGAAGTTAATCTTCGTTTTTTATATTAAAAATATGTGTAAAAATGCTATTTTTGTGAGTAAGCAAAGGATGTTTAGCAACAACCATAAAATTGTGTAGGTCACTGGATAACTGAGTACGAATATGCCACAAAATACCTCTGTTTATTTTTAAAACACACAACGTGTGTCTTGAACTTGGAAAAATTCCTAACTAACGGTGACTTTTGATGAAAAGCTCAGACATTTCACCAGGCAGTATATAGAGGAAGCTCTCACTGTTTAAAGCTATTTTGAGAATTGGCGACGTCATCGCTTGCGAGTATGTCATCTCTAAACAGGTGTGTCTTCACAGGTGTGTCATCGGTTGGTATGGGTTCACAGGCGCATACACACATATTTGTTTTCATTAGTTTCTCCACTCCATGAAATCATTTTCTTCCATTCTAGAGAGGGTGGACGTTCCATAAAATGATATGCAAACCACGCGAAGAGCTTATTCTTCTGCTATTTATGTTCTTTGACTGGAGCCATAGTTTGAATCTAAATGAAAGGTGCTGATAAAGAGGGTGAGTGTTATCTGACATAATTACTTTGAATTTATTATTTATTTATGGCACTGTGAACAACATCATCTATATTCCTGTTCTCCTAGGTCTTTATTATTATGGACTTCCCAATTCTTGATACCTTTTCATGTTTTGTTTATCAAGGTTTTTAAAACCCAACTATTTCACTAAAGCTTAAAAGCTGATAAAATTACAGATTCATAAAACACAACCATGATTCCATTTCAAACATGGAATTTCTTTATACGCCTTAAAAAGTAGATTGCACTTGCTAACAAAGTTAGTATTCTCTTTCCAATTAAGTTTATCATAATTATTGTACCTATATATTTATGATGTTTAACAATCTCCACGGTATCGTTCATAATAGTCAGATTATCGTGTGTCTTGTCACCCTTTCTAAAATATAATTATCTTTTTATTTTCTGAACATTCAAATTCAAATAATTATCTACGCACTATGATGAAAAACGATTTATATTTTGAAAGTAAATTTTAGTTGAATTATCCTTTAATCCATCTACATATTTCACCGTCAAACACTAAAGTTAAAATTCCATCGTCAATACAGTTTAAATCATTAGTATATAAAGAAAAATTGGAGAAAGGACACAGCCCTGGGGTGTCCTAGTATTGATTTCTAACTTACAGTTGTTAAAAACACACAAATTGTTCCCTAAGCATTAAACAGTTATTAAGCCATAAAATGATAGACCGGTTTACACCTCATACATTCGATTTAGCCAGTAAAACGTTCTTTTGTGTTCAATATAGTGCAATGAAAAAGAGCATGATTAAGAATGAATTTAGCAAGCAGAAAAAGTTACCTTTCACATTTGTTGTATTTGTTTCCTGCGAGAGGCTTGTGTTGCAATATTCCGTGTACTTGGCGGTAATTAACTGGTACCAAAAGTTAACGAATGTGTCGTCGCTTTCGATGGCTGTTGTTGCAACTGTCGTTAAGCTGGAGCCAGTGTTACTATCTCCTACAATATAGTTTCCAATCGTTTTACTGTTTTCGCTTTGATCCATGTCTGCTGTAGAAATCTGCTCAGTTCTGTCACCACTCTGCATCTCGGTTTTTTTTGCATTCATCGTAATATGTGTCCCAGAGGCGGTGATATGTGTCCCAATGACAGGGGTAGGTGTTCCGAGGGCAGGGATAGGTGTTCCGGTGGCAGGACTAACTTTGGCTTTATCGTTAGTCTCATACTTTGCAAGATAGTCGGTGCAGTTTGCAATCTTGTGTTCACAGTTGGTATCACATTTTTCAAATTGGTCTTTTCTGTCATCGATGTTCCAAACGCATTCGGTTAGTGCACAATTCACCTCTAATGACTGAGTGATAGTATTCACTGAGTACTCCGCACTACATTGTTCATCCAACCCTGTGAAATGATATAGAAAGGAGAAAACGGAATACGTGCTCATTTAAATACATAACTTGATAATAATAAAGATGTTGTTGTAGATAGACATTACTTGATTAATAATTGACCTTACATTATGTAGCCATGACTGGACGTTTACCGAGACCTTGAAGGTAGCTGGTCATCGGAAATTTTTAAACCCTATACCATGATGAAGATGTATACCCTACTCTAGATTCACCGTAGTGTGGTGATGAAAACTTGTGTTTTCAATGGACATATTCAGGGTCGGATCCATAGATGTCCGAAGAAATTGGAGAGGGTGCGAAAGGGACGGGGTGACTGAGAGACACCACTACTCAGGGAAAATAATCTGTGAAATTTTTGTTTCATTTCAAGACGTCTGGAAATAACCCCTGAAGTTTTTTTTTTTTGACTTTCCAAGCGTACGTAGAAACTGCGTATTTCGTAGGAATGGGAGTACACTGTGCAATTACGTTGATACGTTCTGATTGTTTAGTTATTAAGTTTTCAATGACGCTCCCTATCATTTTGTGTGCAGTTCAGGATACTGCAATGGATAATGTATACATTTTATTACCGTAAAAAACTTATTGATGTACATAAAAAATAAGATTAACATGGTGAAAAATACACTGTAAAAAACACAAACACAATGCTCCGCACAATTTTGTCCACCTTTTGGTGACGCATTTAAAACTAAGCGTATAGCCCTTTATGTTGTTTTACCTCTAAGCAAATTAATGTTCAAACCATCACATTTACGTTATGCCTAAACAGATTTAGCGGGTCCAGATTGCAAGAAGCTGTATAATGTGTTTAAACTATCGTGACGCTGCATTTACAGTTTAGAAAATTCCAATCAACACTCAACATTCAACAGAATTATTGAAAGGAACATAGAGAATCTTTCACATCATTAAATTATTCTTTATTTGAATAATATTTAAGGCTTTTACCGATTATGCACCCTGAAATCTGAATATTTCTGTTATACCAAAAGTATCTTGGCATAAACGTTTTCTGTGGCGACTTGGCTATTGTCGATCCGTCTATGTGCTTGATCATGATGTATCCCTTTTCATATGATATTGTGACCTTGTGCACATTAACTTCTGTTGGCTCAAACTCGATGCTGTTGTTGAAATCACAGGTACTCTTGATTTTAAATTTATTTGACCCATCATTCCTCACTGTAATGTTAAAATAAAATGGACTCTGGGAGAAATTCGACGTCAACAGAAAATGTCCTTCCGTGGTATTAAAATCCAAACTCGTGTTAACACTGAAGCGTATGATATCACTTGGTAGATGAATGTAATTGTAGATATGATTTCCCGTCTGACAGCCTATTGGAATTAAAAGGTTGATATAATGAGGGTATTTTTAACTATAATACTAAAAAAAGAACATCATCAGACTATAAGACACATCCTGCTCTTGCAATAGCTTTACAGTAAACGGAGTAACCTCTCGGAATGGCCCAGCCCACAGCACCAGAAGCGCCTAACATCAACCAACTACACGGTCGCAATAATAATGTTGCAATACGACCAAGATCTTTGACAGAGGCATCGCCTAGATGCCAAGAGCAAGCATTCTACAGTACCAAAAGCATATGTTTTGTAATCTTGCGAAAATTATGAAAACAATGGATGGGGTCCCTATTATTTATTTTATTTTATAGAACTTGTATAGCGCAAATATCCAGAAAACTGCTAAAAGCGCTTCCCAGTCATTAGATACAGAATCAATCATACACAACGTGAAACCTCCTCCGCTCCCCGGGAATATTCCTAGTTTAATCTACTAATTTAATTCCGAAACATTCACATGTTACCAGGTAGCAATTTATACTCGTGGGTGAAGAGTGACAAATTCAGATAAAGTGTCTTTGCCAAAGAGACAAAGCAGTGTGACGAGCATCGGTCTCGAACCCCCGATTTTCCGATTGAAATTCCAACACCTTACACGCTGCGCCACACACTTCTACAAACGACTTGCTTATTTTATGAATTTATGAATAAATTATTTCTAAGCTTCTATGCTCTCTCGATTTGCAAAATCGATCACACATACTATCACCCATTTTAATTTAAATTCGCATTCACCCCAGTAATTAACATTATTTGATTGTGTACATATCAGTCAAGATAAAATATTTCCATATATTAAGGTAATCGATAACTACTTTCCAAATCATATTCTTCAATACTAATGACATTTTAAAATAGTCGATTAGATGTGAATAAACATGTTTTAGTATCTTCAGTTATTACACATGGCCAGCGGTATTGTATCCATACTCGGACGACATTTGATGGAAAAGTATTATAAAAGTGATGATTTTCTTAACCTTTCACTTTCCAAAAGTGAAAAAACCATGCAACAGGTGCATCTCCAAAACATTAATTAAAACAAATTGAACCTATTTTCAATCTTATATCGGCACAACTTTTAATGAAACAGCTTATGGCTAACACTATAACTAACACTTCTGAAATACATTTTTATCGCCAAAATTTAATTTATACGCTCTTCAACAAAATGGTTTTTGTGACTTTTTGTATTTAAAAGTTAGCTTCCATATCTTCGCAAATGTAGAAAATTTTTCAAGCAAGAAGGTAGGAGATGTGTATAAGAGACAGATATTAACCATATATATTTGATCGCCTATAAGACGATCCGCGTATAAGACAACCCCCGAGTTTGAGAAGAATTTTGGACAATTTTTAGTAGTAAATTCGAGTGTTACGGACGATCCGAACAAAAGACGAACATAAAAAAAAAAAAAAAATTATAATGCGCGTAAAGACGACCCTACGTTTTTCGATCGTTAGATTCGTCTTATACGTGAGAATATATACAGAACGGTTGATATCCTGCCTCACATATCCACGTTGTTGTCGTGAGTGGCATTAGAAATTTTGTCGCAACCTAGATGATGTCTTTTTTACTTGTATCCAAAAATTTACCAGTGGCTCCCGTTTAAGTCAAAACTTGGTAAACGTCAAGCGAAATCGTGGTTTTCCTTAAGAATCGCTGCACTATCGTTACAGTTTCTTTCCTTTTCTTCTTCTTTTTTTTTTACTGCAATCGTTGCACTAGCGTAGCAGTCCCTGACGCAATGGGGAAGGCTCCCCGATACGACCAACCAATCAGCATCACCGAAAGCCGTCAGAGTAACACATTTCCCAACCTCAAGTTAGGGGTTTCAATCCCTCGCTGTACATTTCGCTAGTGTCCTTAAAGCAAGGTAGCTTTATCTGCATTGCTTGCATTGCTTCTCTCTACCAAAGAGGATAAATGGTGGGGTTGCCTGCTCCTGCTCTGATCACCAGCAAGAACATATAAGCATGTGGGCCCAATGACCAGGGAAAAGAAGCACTTTGTATCTACAAAGAAAAGGTGCTATATAATACCGGTAATAATAATAATAATAATAAATAATAATAATAATAATAATGTAGTGATGTTGTGGAAACCAAATTTAAAGAATGTTCAGTGCTACTGATTAAAGTATTCTATGGTAGCACATGAGAGTGCATGCTTATGATTATAGGCTTAAGATTTACATAGTTTATTATACATTATTTGACCAAGACGCCTGACCGACCCAAATTTTGCAAAATGCTTGACAACGAACAACATTTTTTTATGAGCAAATAAGGCTAGAATAGCCTTGGCATGGCTAGGGGGCCAAGGCTACTGTAGCCTAT